CCACTTATTTGGTGGTCAATGTAATTAATTTTTTTTTAAATTAGAATGTAAAAAGTTAGAAAATGATTAAAAAAGTGTAAATTGATAGAGCTTGTCTTCTCAAACTGGAAAATATTTTAAATTTACCTGAAAAACCTGAATATAATAGAATTTTTTGATCAAAAAGTATACACCCCATGAGTAGGATTTAACAATAAAAACTAAAAATCTTCGTATTAAAATTTGTATTATTTCTTAAAATTTCAGTCAAATCGATATACTGGCTGATAGTTTTCTCCTGTTATAACATCATGCCGTTGTACTATCTGGCACTTTCCGTGCATATAACCCCCTACGCTATAGGTCCCATAGCGAGCGTGCGTGATAGAAATTAGTTTTATTTGTGACAACTTTGAATGCCTGTAACTCAAAAACCAAAAAGATTTTATTTAACTTTTTTTCGTAGATCATATTTATCGTCGTGAATATGCAGTTAAACGTTGTTGGTGATATTTGCGGACACCCTGTATAAACGATTTTTGATAAATCGACTTTTTTACGGGCTCTACCAGCTGTGTGAATAAATGACTCAACTTTGAGAACACCCTGTATATGTAGAAAACTCTGTACGAGGGTCGACTTTTGTATTTTGGGAATGGACGATCCTTGTGCTGCCACCTGACAACTGACTTCCCTCCCTTTCGCAAAGTTCCATAAACAGCAGTCAACTGGACGGGTCTTCCAAAATCCATCAAAAATTGTTCTAAATGGTCACGTTTTTTTCGAAAAATGCGGACACCATTAGTGGAACGGTTAATTCTGAATCTTTACACAACCATTTGTTTGCCAGAAGTCTTCGCAAAAGTAAGGGAAACCAACCACCGAAGACCCATCATTTTCCACCAGGACAATGCGAGCCTCACACATCGGCTCAAACAAGATTTTTTGAGTTATGAAAAAATCAAATTGATGGGTCGTCCGCCGTACAGCCCTGATTTGGCACCCATGACATTCTTTATTCCCGCACATCAAAAGTAAATTTCGAGGTCGTTTTTCGACACCTGAAGCGGTTGATGCAAATGCATGTCTTGGAGGTACCCCGTGCCTGTGATATTAAGTTAAAAAATTATTAGAAATGATACAGCCGGCTTTACTTCATATATTTATTTCTTAACATTAAATTTTATAATTTAAAACAGATATATCTACAATAAAGCCATTACAATAAATATATATAGAGATAGGACATACGAAAATGTACCCAAATATCACAACAGGAAACTAAAATCTAGAGGTTCTAATTCCATGAGAGAAACCAAAGAAATTTACATGATAGATTACCGGAAAAAAGGAAATTCCATTATCTATTTCCATTTTATTTCATTATTTTAACTACCCGTTTATTATTATAGAAAGAAAATCCAACGGAGAGACGAAAGTATTCACTACATATATTCATGAATGTATGTTGTATTTGTTTTAAATTGTACCCTTTAAAAAGTTCTCGTAATAATAGCAAAATATATTTTTATTTTATTTTTTTCTTTTATAGTAATGATAGTTACAGGATCATCATCGTCCTCACGTGAATATTTTTAGAATTTTATCTCAGAAGCACACCTAAATTTTGTATCGCCTTATTTACCGTTAAGATTTACTCAAAATGGGAAGATGATTCGCCTTATTCGAAATATCGCTGAAAAAACATATTTGCCAAGAGGCATTCTGCATGACCGAAACAAGAAAAATGTAAAATATAATTTAAAAAAAGGTACAAAGATGTAAAAGATTAACTGCAATAAAAAGTTTGAAAGAACACCTCATAATACAACAATATTTAGAATTTACGAGGAGATGACAACCGTTATTATTCATGCTCCATTTTTTTAGTGATATAATCTTATTATTGACACTTATTACAATACATAACAACCTAATTCATTTAATATTAAAGATTGAAATGCATCTTTAATATTCACCGAAAAATTTTAATTCGAAAACATTAAGTATCTCAGTTCAATCAACATCTTGGACTTCTAGAGAGAAAAATAAATGTTAAAAGATCGTCGAGCATGATCAAAATTCTTACAAATGAATTTGCGTATTTCAAGAAAATGAAATTTTATTTCATACACTGCTTCTGACAATGATATCAAAATCGTTATAGATACAGGGTGGCACAAATTAGAAAAAAAGCTATACCATCAGGGTACCTTTGGAATGGCGCAAACACTTCTCGGATATATCTTTTAGTTTCAGTTCGGAAATATTTTGAAAACGGTTTTTCGGTTTTCTGTTTCGTTTTCTTCCGATGTTATTACCAGAACTGGAACGAAAAGAAAAACATTTCTCCACAGCAAATTTTCCTGCATTTTCTCAGGGAAATTTCAGTTTTGTTATCCGGAGTTTCAATTTTAATTGACCATCATCAATTTAATTTATCTAACCCTCTCACTGCTCCAGACGAGTTTATTCGCTAAAAATTTATAGGACTCGCTGCTCCAGACAAATTCGCTTGAATAGTTAAATTGGATCATGCTGCTGAAACCGTATATACTCGCAACCACGCGCATTAGTGACTCGGTTGTTGCAATTCGTTTGCGGGCGGAGCTTATAGCGATTGTGGCAATTATTTTTATGGAAGGAGGTACTGGTAGTAATGCCAAGATTGTTCATCTCTTTTCCAGGTTCTATTTAGTATAGCTGTCGATATATTGTATTTTATTTAAAATAAAATCGTAAAAATATCTAGAAAATTGACAAAGAAATTTTAGCGAGGAGCGATAGCGACGACGAGTTTGATTGATGAGCGTAGTGATGGATGCTTTATAATAAAATATTAATAACTAAACTGTCACAATTATTTTGAAACCTTTAAACAATTTGATTTATTTAACCCTTTCACTGCTCCAGATGAGTTTATTCGCTAAAAATTTATAGGACTCAAACTGCTCCTGACGAATTAATTCGCTTGAATAGTTAAATTGGATCAGGCTGCTCAAATCGTATATTTTCCCAACCATGCGCATTAGTGACTCGGTTGTTGCAATTTGTATAGGGAATTTTTGCGGGCGGAGCTTATAGCGATTGTGGCAATTATTTTTATGGAAGGAGATACTGGTAATAATGCCAAGATTGTTCATCCCTTTTTCAGTTTCTATTTAGAACAGCCGTTTTATTTAAAATAAAATCATAAAAATATCTAGAAAATTGACAAAGAAATTTTAGCGAGGAGCGATAGCGGCGACGAGTTTGATTGAGGAGCGTAGTGATGGGTGCTTTATAATAAAATATTAATAACTAAACTATTACAATTATTTTGAAACCTTTAAACATATTTTAATTTAATTTAACACAACATAATCTAAAAATATAAGTAACTGCGGTAAACTTTCGCACATGGAGCGGTAGCTACGTCCAAACGTATTGCGCAGCGAAAGGGTTAAATACATATTTTTAATTTTGTATTCACTGATGTCTGGCAATTTCATTATGTTTTGGATGTTTCAGCCATCTTCATAAAAAAAATTTTCAAAATATAAAAAAAAGTTTAAAAAAATTATTAATTTTCCAAAATCAAACAGTTTAATTTATTGTGGATACTTAATTTATTGTTGCAATTTTTTTGTTTTATTGTTTCTATGGCTTCATAAAGTTTACCTTTTTTCAAATAACGAACGAACCATAGTAAAATACAATTTAATTGTCTTTTCTATATAATAAAGAACCATACTTAAAAATCTCTTGATGATGGATACAATGTGTCCGAAGCGTAATCAATCAATTAACAGGAAATAAAAAATAGAAAAATTGTACTTAAAAAATTAAATTGATGGTAATTCGAAACCGAAACATCGAACAATAAAACTGACGCTCGTGTAAGAAAATACAAAATACACAAAAAGTTGCCATGAAGAAATGTTTCCTTTATTCGAGCTTTAATCAAAAAAATAAATCCAAGATCTGTTTCCACCAATTGTTTTTTTAATCGAGCTAACCTGTATCCTTTGCCGTTTTCAATATCACCGCAATAAAACATCCTCGTCTTGGACATACAGGGTGTCCCAAAATTAATGCAACAAAATTTAGTCACAGATTCTTAAGACAAATTTAGGGGACCCATATTTTTTATTTTTGCCAATTGGCCCCCTTTTTCGCAGTTGCAGCCCCCCGAAATCCGCCCCTAAGAATAGTCTTTTTTATATCTCAGAACCCTGTTGTACGAAAATCGCTAAATTTGGTACACAGCAGTTTTATGACGTGTGGAATCTGACAGTGCTACACTTTTTGGCGGGGAACCCCCTTAAGACAATTTTTCGTGGGCCCCCTTTGTCTTTGGAGGCAAAAAAATTTGGTCGCATATTTCAATTTCCTAAAAATTATTATTCTGCTAGAAAGCCATTAAATTTAGAAACTTTTTTTTCTTGATATTTTTTCCGTAAGACGCAATATTTCTGAGAAAAATGTCAAAATCTGATCAAATGCATATTGTGATTCGCCATTTTTCTTAAAAACGTTGCATTTTTATGAAAAAAATATCAAGAAACATAAAAGTTTGTAAATTCAATAGCTTTCTAGCGAACTAATAATTTTTGAGAAATTCAAATATGCAATCAAATTTTTTTGGTTCCAAAGACAAGGGGGCCCACGAAAAAGTGTCTTTAGGGGGTTCTCCGCCAAAAAGCGTAGCACCATAAGATTCCACGTCATAAAACCCCTGTATACCAAATTTAGTTACTCTCGTACAACAGGGTTCTGATATAAAAAAGCCTTTTTTTTGGGGGGCGGATGTCAAGGGACTATAACTCTGAAAGAGGGGGCCACTTGGCAAAAATAAAAAATACGGGGCCCCTAAATCTGTCTTAAGAATCTACGACCAAATTTTATTGCAATAATTTTGGGACACGCTGTATATTTGAAAAAAAATTTATATAGTTGATAAAAATATATTAATCAAAAAAAAAGATGTAAACCTTCCTTTCCAAATTACAATTTGCGAAATTTAAATAAAAATCTAAAACCACAACAAAATAGGGTATAATAAAAACAATTCCTTTCGTAATCGCCGACTCTCTAAAAAGTCCAACACCAGCGAGGCGCGTGTAAAACTAAAATTTTTCTCAATAAATAAAAAAACTAATTGATTCTTTGGTTCCCTTTTTCGTTAATACAGGGGCGAGTCGGGCATCTCGCACTGCCCGATCGTGACCCTATGCATGGCCATCTCGGAGATCCCGTGGTAGTGCACGAGGGCCCCGCCCAGCACGAAAACGTGGAAAATCTGGTGGGAGTGCAGCCAAATATCGAACTTGCCCGGGAACCACCTCTCGGGCACCCTCAGCGCGTAGAACAGGGCGCCCACTATGTACAGCAACCCCATGAGTACCAGCCAGCCCAGGTACTTCTGGCTGACGTAGTTGAACCACCCCTCGACAATACCGTAGTGGATCGCCGGGACTATGCCGCTCAAGCCAAACGTCATGAATACCGCCGCCCTGAAGGGCCTCCATCCCGATTCCGAGAACTTGTCCCACAGGCTCACCATTATGCTGGTGACGCCCAGGGCGCAGACCACCGAGAGGTACACCACCTTGGGTCGGAAGTGGCAATAGAAACCGTAATAGAGCCACGGCACGAAGGATCCCATGATGAGTAAGGCGATCCCGCAGTAGTCGAGTTTCGAGAATAGCTTGCCTATGAATTGCGAGTGGCAGTTGACGGTGTGGAACATGAAGGAGCACCCCAGGCAGATGATGGCGCCGGCGAAGAAGGCGCCGAAGACGATCTTCTCTTGGAGCTCGATCTCTATGACGGGCCTCATGAGGAAGTATATGGCAATACCTGCGGAGTAAAATAAATGTTTATTTGTTTGAAATTAATTATTTCATACTAAAATCTCAAAAGCATTCAATTTAAAATGCGAGATATGAGTGGCTCCAGGAAAATGAAACACGGTGTATGCAATGAAGTACCTTTACTTTTAACATTCGATGTGATCTAGAAATGGACATACAAAAATTTTGGGGGAAGATAGAACATCAAAAAATATGATTTTTTCTTAGGATCTTATCGCTTTTTATTTTTGATGTTGGGTGCCAAAAATGACTTTTTAAAATTTTTAATATTCGCAAAAGACAAGTTTCTGAAGATGCTAAACAGATCAGTGTTTGTAGTTGTGATAAATATTTTGAGGTTAGGTCATTGCATCACATATATTACAAGAGGTCCATTCGTCGGTGTCACCATAAACTGTAAGATTTACAGTTTTTATGAAATCATTGGAAAATTAAGTTAAATAAAGTTAAAATGTCATAAATATAAAAAGGGCAGGAATGATAGGATTTAACATGTTTGTTTCAAGTTAATATCCAATTCGTAGATAAATGATCCAAATAAAACCTCACAAAATTTAAATACTGGAATTTACCCAAACTTACATTTATTCTTTCTTGAAATCTGGAATGAAAATATTCAGTTTGGAGCAGGATATAATGTCTAGATGGCGTCATTTTCAGCTAGCGAACAAAAGTAGGTACCTTTGTTGAAACTGCTGGAAATGCATTGTTTTTGAGCAAAACGCAATCGAGTGCCAACTTCTATTTCTCAACGTACACGATATCTGGAAACGAATGTCCCATACTTGACTTTGGGATGAAAATAAAACAATTTAGATGATGTTACCTACAATTACAATTACACTTTTTTAAAAAGTTACAACCCTTCAGAACAATGTCTTTATTTTATTTCTGTGAAGGCCTCTAACTCTTTGAAGAAGCAAAATTCTACCAATGTAACAATTAATTGTTACATTAACAATTAAAATCGTTTATTATCATCCAAGAAAACTATCCTTGAAATATGACCCATTCATTTCGAAACATCTTGTACATTGAGGAATAAAAGCTTGTTGATCTTCGGTCAATTAACTGAATTTTTCTCAAACAACGGTGCATTTCCATCTTTTTTATATTGAAAAAATGAAATTTTGTTATAATACACTAATGGAAAAAATTAAAGGGTTAAAAGAATTTCTGAAATTTTTCCGTGATTTTTGACAAACTGTATTTAGGTGAAAAATGGTTGTATCGGGAATTAAAAAAAAGCATTTTGAAGCTCTAAGATTCTAGTTATCATGCAATTCTAAAAAATAGCGCAACAAAAAAATTTTGCAATTTGCATAGACAAGATAGCTTGTTTAGTCAGCTTCAATTTCCTTTTTTTTAAATTTCGATACGACCATTTTTCATCGAAATATGGGACTTTTAATGGAAAAGGATCCTTTCCTTTTGTCTTCAATCGTCGATATCTCGGCGACAAATGGTCGTACAGAGAATTGAAGGGCAGTTTCGATAACTGGAATAAATTTCCTATAACATGCTGCCGCAACTTTTAGGAAAATATTTTTTTTTCCATCTACACGAATTTTAAAAAACAGGAAAAAAAGGTAATTTATGGTTTTTAGAAAATTGATGGCTAAACTAGAAGTATTTATGAAATGACTAATGTTAAGCTTGACTTTTACAGTACGATATACCCAGAAGAACCATTTCTCTGTTTGAAACAAACTTTTAAGAAAAATTAAAGGGTCACGTTTTTTGAGCTTAAACACTTCATAACCATGATTAAAATGGGAAAAGAAATTTTTTTGAGGATTTCTCACATTTTTACCGCAAATAACTTTTAAATTGATGAAAAAAAAAAATTTTGAAATATTTTTTCAGAGAAGAAAAACAACCATAACAAAAAATCATGCCATAAAATGTCATTGGGAAAGTTATTTTTAGCAGATGACCAAAAACTAAAAACAGGAACATATTTAGTATCTTCGAAAACTTACCTATTCCCAATTGCAATACATTTTTTTTTTGGCAAATTTTTTTTTAAATCATTTTTGTTGCTATTTATATCCGAAATAAAATACGATATGCGCATGGTCTATTAAGAAAAAAAATTATTTTTTTGCAATTTATCATTCTCTATTTTTTTGTGTACAAAAATACGAGAAAACTCACCTATGAAAGCGACGCAGCCCAGCAAGTGCGTCCAAATGTTGGCCGTCTCCGTGTGCAACCTGAAGATGCTCTTGAAGCACGCCCTGAAGCTGGGTAGGGGCGGCCGATGGCCGAACACTAGAAAGTCGTTGTCCTGGAGCCAAGCCGGCAGATTCCTGAAGTGGCACACCGACCACCCGGCCTGGATCATCTTCCGGACAACGTGTTCGGCTTGGCTGGCGGCATTGTGCGCCAGCGCCGATATGTCCAATTCATCACCTGCAAATCGGGGTAGGTTTGCTTCATTTTGGGGGAAGAGAAACATTCAGTATTATAACGGTGTTCAATCAGTACAAGTGTAGGTTTATTTGATGTTTTTATGTAAACAAATTTGACAAATGTTTGATCTCTAGAACTGATAACCTTTATCTTTTAATTTGTTTTTTTGTAGTATATATGTAGTTTTCAAAACTTGAAAGCGTAGAAAAGCAATAAAAAGTATATTAATAATAAATGTACATCATATCTTAAATTTTAGTCTAGAATTTAGAAAAATGCTAAATATGTACATCGAAGCTATGGATCGCGTAACAAAAATGCTTGGATAAATTTTTATCTTGGTTTCTACATCAAAAAAGTTCAATACAAATGGTGTTCTAGAAAACTTCATTTTTCAGATATGTAACATTAATGTAAATATATGGTTTATTTCAAGTCGCAAATATACAGGGTGATTCACAAGCGGTGACCAAAAATGAAACCTCGTATTCTTTGGTGAATTTTAAGGGGTCTTTCTCATATAAAGTTTTTATCTAAGACGCTTTGTTAAAAAGGTGTAAAGGATAAAAAATACTAAAAAATACATTTGCACGAACACAGGCGCGACATCTTTTTAGTAACGGAAATGTAATTTGTTCGCAATTTATTGTTGCTTGAATTTGATGAAAAGCATTATTTATTCTTTCTTTTAACTGCTCAAGTGCATTAATTTCTTCACTGTATACCAGCCATTTAACAGCACTCCACAAAAATGAATCCAATGGGTTTAGGTCTGGTGTTTTCAATTTGTTTTTTAAGTTTTACTCAAAAATCAGGCTTTTTTCGAAAAACATAAAAGAGCAGTACACAATTTTTTAAAAATTGAAAGACGAATCCGAGAATATCGTGATTGTTACCATAAAGCAGTGGCGTAGTATTTTATTTAGAAAAATATTCCACCGATACCCTGTATCTTCGCCACTGGAGCTTCTAAATTTTAGGAAAAGGCCTCAGATTTGGAACAATGTTTACATACATACATGTGCCAAATTTCAAATTAATTCACCTACAGTTTTTAAATTATTTTAAAAAATTTTAACATTTTTATAAGTTTAACACTCTGTATCTTTTTAACGAAGCGACCTAGATAAAGACTTTATACGAAAGACTCCCCTTAAAGTTCACCAAAGAATATGAGGTTTCATTTTTGGTCACCATTTCTGAATCACCCTGTATAATTAAAAAATTTTCAATTAACATAATACCTATTTCATTCATGCATAAAGTGATTTTGTTACTTGTAGTATGGTATAATCTTCTAATAACGGACACCAGGGAATCCTAAAATGTGCAGTATATAGATGTGTCCGTTATTTAATATATTAACACAAATCTTAGCTTCACCAATATTAATGATTCGTTTACAACGAACAATGACAAACCGTTACGTCTAAACTCGAGATAATGCGATCGCTAATTTGTTGAATCAAATCTCGTGAAAAATCACACCAATCATCAACCGGTGAAACAGAATGTTGTGTTTTAATGTAATCGTGATCTTCTTGTTTTAATAATTGGTCATGTGACTTTTAATCGTTTATGAAGGCACTATACATAGTTGGCCAATCAGAAAAAATAAGGACAGGTAAGGGTGCAACAAAACCATTACATAATTCCAAGTCATTTGCCTTAATTCTAAGAACTATAGTTGGTAGGCATATGTATATACTAACCCGGTACCATCTTATCTTTCCGCTATTGTCTGATATTGTGTCTGCATCTTTTACTATCAAGAGATGGTAAAATTAAGAAAACTCCATTGTAAAATCCCGTAAGAACAAAACTGCTTTTAGTGCTTTATCCTATAATAATGAATTAAATTTAAAATGTCTAACGGTCAAAAATCAAAAAGCCTGTACCATGCCCCCTGTATTTCAGCCATTTTAAAACATAATTTTTTTATTTTAACACCCCATATGTCGAAATATTTATTTATTTGTTGTGATGACCCACTATTTAACTTTGGCCACACATTTTGCTACACCCTGTATAAAATATTTGAATCTATCAAAATTTACTGAAGTGATATGAAAATTATAGAATGACTGTTTTCTAATGACTTTTACACCTGTCACATATCGACAAATAACCAGGTGTGAATTTGAAATATGTTCCCCGAATACCTTGAAATATATGATTCCTGATAAGAAAATCAAATAAGATTGCAAAATTAACCTCCGAGTTCAGCAACACGAGTGTAAAGATATACGAAAATAATATATTACCTCTGCTCATGATTAAGACAGACAAACATTATTTGAAAACTAATAAAAATGTGATTTGATGCACAGACAACTCACCAAATAGTTGAAAAAGAAACCTGATTCTATTTTATCAATTAGTGATAATTTAATCAATAATACATTTTAATTATAGGATTTAAGATATCTTTACAAATAGCAATAAAAATAAATGCACACAAAAATACTCGGTGATAATAAATGAAAAAATTTATATACGAGAATTCCTTTTAAATTAAATTGGGCTATTCAAATACTATGATAATATCATATTTAGCCAGTACCCATAGCAAAGTTTAAATGAAATGTAATGAGGCCTTCTTGAAACAAAAAACAAAAGTGCATGATACTACCTGATGACACACCAAAAAAGATGAGAAAAAGAAACATGAAAATCTAACCTACTCTACCTGTACCTAAAACAGCAGCTTTAAGAACATCACTCATCTCAGAATCCAAGATGTTCTCATCTTCAGGTGTGGAAGGCAAGGGACAGCCAACGCAGTCCTCCTCCACCTAACAAAAATAGAAATTACAATGTTTGCATTTAAATGTTGATAAAATCAATGTAAATTCAAAGTTACAAGTTTTAAACATTGTTAGAATCATAAACAATAACGATGCATTATTGGAAATTAGAATATTCTATTTAGTATGCTTAAAATGATTATTGAAAAAGTTAATTTATACGAAATTTTAACATAAACTTTTACAATTAATTTGTTACATTTAAAACCACAGATATAGGAAATAAAGCATGTTATTTTGTAGAGAAGAAAGATTTAAAAATGTCTGTTAGGTTATTTAGTGTTACTTTTTGTTCATCTTTCATTATTATACCAGAAAATAGTCAGACATAAAATTGTAGTTATGCACTAAACCTTAGATAGTTCAACTATTAAATTTTAAAAATATTTTATTTTTCATATAAAATATGCTTCTATAGGAACAGCTCCCTCAATAAGCATCCAGTTCATAAAACCACAATAATGAGAATTCTTTATTAATACACTGGGTGTTTCACGACGAATAGAGTACTTTAGTATGTTATAATATCGTTTATTTTGAACCAAACAGTTCATATGAATCTATCCAAGTCTCAATGGTTACTGAGATACAGCCAGTGGAAATAAAGCACAAACGAATATCTTTTTATTAATTTTACTAACCAATATTTGATATACAAAATAGCATTTTGATTTTTAAAGATTAAAGATATGGGTCAAAAGTTCTTCCGCTAAACTCCGCACACTTCGCTGTTCTAATGAAAACGTTGCGTATGTGCTATGCAGTTTTTCCAAGCGTCGCTTTAATCTTGTTATAATAATAATTTTCTACTTCATTCACATTTTGTTCAACTGCACATTCAGAATGAAAATGAATACTTGGAACAAAGCCCGTATTTCGTAATGTGTCAAATGTTTGAATAAATGCTCTTGAATCTAGTAACGCTGGTTAGAAAATCGTCTTCGATATTCTCTATGAGCAGCAGGTGCTCTTCCATTGCAAAACCCATACCAAAACACCATACGTGTGACATTTCAAATAAATTTCACACATACACACGTTCACAAATCAATGCTAAATGTCAATTATTTGGTGAGGGCCTACTCGATAATTTATCTGCTTTGCACTCGACGCAATCGACATTAAAATTGCTGTACCTCAATAACCATTGAGATTTGAAAACATTTGCATATTAACTATTTTATTCAAAATGAATGATACTATAACAAACTGAAGTATTGACTATTCCTCCTGAAACACCCCATATAAGGTATGTTCCAAAGTAAACAGGACTTTTTTAAAAATAAGAACAATAGTTTTTTTGACAAAACCGATTTATTTTAATAAAAATAGTCCACTTCCGATTCAATTTAGCGATTTGCACCACGTTTCGTCACCAGTCACAATGTTGAAAATTAAGTTTCACTTTAGACACAATAAATCCACTTTTATTTGTCCAAATGTCAAGAAATTTTAACGAAGAATCAACCTTTCTGACACATAATTGCCAAAAGATGGCCTCACTAAAAATACCTATTTTTTCTAATCCTGTTTACTTTGGAATGCATATATAGAATATGTTTGTATTTTATTGAGACACACTATATAAAAAATTGAGTCTCCCTCCTCCTGGTCCAATATACACATATATTGCCGTAGGACGTGCCTATAACTGTTATAAATTATTATACAATTCTAACAAACAAAAATATGTGTTTTTCTAAGATTCTAATTATTATTTATCACTGTGGGCATGTGTGGGATATATTGGAAGAGAATAATTTTTCTAGATGTAATCAATATGCACTTTCAATTACAGATAAGGTACATGTTTTCCAACAAACAATTTATGTAGATTGCAATTTTTTATTTATATTTCAGAAAAGAAAACATGTAACATAAGATTGTAGACTTTCTTTGTTGTAAACATTCTTCGACCTTCACTTTTATTTGTCATGATGATAACAAACTAACTAACTAATCTTTAGAAAAACTACTCTTTGTGTTAATAACCCACACAATCGGATATAGACCAATCAATAGAGATTTTGTTTGTGACAAAAATACTAGTAGCAAACCGAGTGTGCCATCATATAAAAGACAGTTTGTAAATATATGCTTATACAGAAGCAGTTTGTAGGGGCCTGGAAAACCGGGAATACCGGGATAAGTCAGGGAATTCATTATTCTTCATAAAAAGCAGGGAATAGTCAGAGAATTTTAAAAGTATTCAAGAAAGTCAGGGAATTTGACGTTTGCTACTGGAAATTTTGTGAAAGCAGGCCCTGGGTTCTTGAAAGAAAAAACTGTTTGTGGTTTTGAAATCTTTATAAGAAGTTCTTTGGTTATAAAAAAAATTATGGAGTCCATCTGGAAAAAGTTTAATGCATAAACATCAATTAGTATGCAAAAATGAACAAGTAACCTGGATTTTTTTTCAGGGTCAGGGAAAACCTGGAAAAGTCAGGGAATTCTATATTACTTTTGAACTATGAACCCTGTAATGTTTCCTACTCCAATTTACCATTAACTAATTTTTTAGAAACATTTTTATGTAAAAAAACCCATTTTTTTAGTTTTTTGCTTATAAAACCTAAGCAATCTGAATGCTATAAAGAAACAATTTGTAGAGAATCGAAATATGAGAGGTCGATCGGATAATTAGAAATGAAGAAAACCCGGAAAAATCGGAAAATTTATCGTTTTTTTTAAATTCATTACCCTGTGCACAAAAGTAGTGAATTATTTGCACTTTAAGTGTGCACAAAGCAGGCGCTATCGGACCATTAGTTTTGGCACAATTGCAATTTAAATTTTTTGGTGCACTATTTTACAAAATTTTTGAATGCGTTGGAGGTGGTCCGAATTTAATTTTTTAGCCGTATTTTAAAAGTAGAAGTATAATATTACAAAACGTATATTCTAATTTTCCGATAAAATGATGTGAAATAGGTGAAAAATCCCTCCAAACATGCTCAAAAACGACCGAGCGTGCACTGAACTTAAGCATGCACACTGACAGAGTGGTAAGAATACACGGAATCACTATGATGTGAAACTTGTGGACATTCCTTGTTTTGTTCCTGCACTTTTTGACATTTACGCGAAATCTTGACATCAAACGTGAATTTGAGTTTTCTTACAAAATGTACTTTTCTGTTCCAAAGAATACATATTTAGGTGTGCTTGTATACTGTTACGGAAATTTTATTACATTTTATAAGTTGTTTATGAACAAAACAATAAAAAGTTGTTTTTCTCGAAAATGTTTATGACATTCCTCGTTTTATTCCTATACCCTTCATATGTATATTCAAACGAAAGATTTTGCAATAATATTTACCTATTGCCAGATTGAATATATGCTTCTGCTACATTGGTGTCGTTTGTACATTCCATGACACTGGTATTATTTATTATGTATAACCACTTACAATAATATTAAACTATACTATTACTAACAATATTCACAATTGTATACCTGTAATATATCCCTCGATCTTCCCCACTACTCGATAGCGTACGCGCTCTTGGTCATTTTTGAGAATGTTTGGAGGAATTTTTCCCCTATTTCGCATCATTTTATAGGAAAATTGGAATATACGTTTTGTACCTCTACTTTTAGAATCCGGCTGAAAAACTGCAACACATCCAAAAGTTTTGCAAAACAGTGCACCAAGAAATTCAAATTGCAATTGTTCCAAAACTAATGGTCCCACAGCGCCTGCTTTGTGCACACTTTAAGTACATATAATTCACTACTTTTGTGCACAGGGTTATCTCTACAACTTAAAAAATGACGGAGTAATAAATTTAAAAAAGAAACGTAAAATTTTCCGATTTTTCCGGATTTTCTTCATTTCTAATTATACAATCCAATCGATCGACTTCTCGTTTTATTCGTATTTCGATTCTCTACAAATTGTCTCCCTATACCATTCAGATTGCTTCTTTGGTTTAGGTTTTATAAGCAAAAAACTTCAAAAAATGTATTTTTTTTTGTATATGTTTATAAAAAATTAATTAATGGTAAATTATTGGAGAAGGGAACATAAACATATTTCTACAAACTGTCTTGATGGCACAGTCCCTTTGCTACTAGTATTTTTGTCACAAAATTACTGATTTATTGTTCTATTGACTGGCCTAATATTACTACAACACAATGATAGAGATAAATTTCTATAATAAACTTTTATTATTTGGGGTTTGATCGATACATTCTTTAAATTTCTTTGTCTGATGTTTTCACTTATTTTGATGATACAAGAGGTTATCAGAAACATGTATAAAGCATGGATAAAACCTGAGGTAATTTTGAAAACAAACCATCTCATCACATGACTTATCATATCAGTAAATACCAACACATTCATAAAGCCAATTTCCATACGTTGCCATCGAATAATCTCTTTATTTTCAATGGGATTTTATATAACACATAGTTACCATATCTTTTTAATGAAATGAATCAAATCAAACTGATAGGCAAATACGAACATTTTATCTTTTCATTTTAGAATTATACTGAGAACCGGTGAATTACAAAGGGTCCAAAATATTCTTACCTCAGACAATTACTATAATTGATAATGATAAATTAATGATAGGATAAAAATAGATTGTGACCAAAAACAATGAAATAGTAATACATCTATTATTTGCTACCGTTAAACCGAAAACCAGATGAACTCTCTATTTAGATTTCTGATTAGATATTAGACAGTTACAAATAAAAAAATAAAAAAATTATTGAAAAAATATTCTTTCACGCAAATTTGGCATATATGTTATGGGATTAATACACATTACACAGTTATTGTCAAATTTGGTTCCAAATCACCAAAAAATTGTGGAATGTAAAAAAAATATTTATTTAAAATGTTATCCCAATAGTTCTCATTGAATATTTGCAAATATTAACTTTTATACCTAACTAGCAAATTGTAGATTATTTTACTGCAAGCACAGCACATTGATTTGTAGTATGGTTGATGATTGCTATAATAAGTTAATAATGTTACATATAATTCTTTAATTAAATGTCACTGTTTAACCTTGGCGGGGATATCTAAATATACATTGCTGGATGCTTTTATTGAAACGATGTCGTAATGCCAATTCAAACTGGAAAACAATTTACAACCAAATTAATTACTTACTGAGGTTATGATGCATTAACATCGCATTGATTTTGTATTAAAAAAATATATGTAAAGTTTAATAACCCCTGATAAAGCAAGTTCTAATAATTAGACTTTTACCTCTCAAAAATAATCATTAATTTAGGTAGCTTTAAAGACTAGTTCCAAAATTCTTCCTTATTGCTTTAAATGTCTGTGTTCTTCCTGGTGACCCTGTTTAATCACACTTTCTTAATGACTTTTAACTTTACATTATTATTCAGAGAAACTTAATTGTTATGTTAATAATATATGGGGATGATAAGAAAAAGAAAGTTTAGAATTGTAAACAGAGTAGACCAAAACACAAGTATATGAATACAGAAAAGGTTCAGCAAAGGTCAAAGAATAGAAAATTAATTTTAAAACTAACACCACGTTGATGAAACTTTAGAATATTGTAATTGGAAATCTTGTACCTTCAACCGCAAGTTAACTTAAAAACTCATAATTCATAATACCTTTGAAACTGCATAGCACATTTTTGTACCTGTATTTATATTTTAAGCTAAATATTACAGAAAAAATATTATGATGATAGCTGTCAAAATTTATCATCAGTGACAAGAAAAGGTAACACTAAAATTTTTTATACCATATATACCTTGGTTATTATTCCTAAATAGCATGTGACAAATAAAATTATTATCAACCCTATGCATAACCTGTTATGAACATTATAAGTCTTACTTGATGATATAAGTACTGTGAATGAAGGATTTAACATATTAGACAATTAAGTCGTGCAAATACGTATGTTGCTAATAAAACTTAACTGCATAACAGTTTAAATTACTATTTTATAAGAAGGGTCTGACTTACCAAAGAATTAACATCTTCATCGAGTAGATCTTTTATCTCCGAAGTAATACTTTCGCTCTCAGGATCCCATAGTTTTCTTTTTCTCAAACCGATCTCGAAGTCTTGGATGTCTTTAATAGAGTCTTCGGCGTCACTGTAGTGAGACATTTTGGGTGGCCTTCCCACACCACAGCGCGAAGAAAACTAGAAAATCAGCGGGATATAATTTTCACTGTCAATTTTGAAATGATAAATAAAAAGAACAAAGGTCAAAGCTAATCTGAAACGTAAAAAATATCCGTTTTTATCCAGATACCAAGAAAGAAACATAATTTGTGTTTGGAAAAGTAACTAGGTCCTCCGTGTTACATAAATCGCCTAAAACTATTTAATTTCGTATTGACATAACTGTAAATATGCGTAGAAATTAACCAGAGACATTACTTGAAATTTAAGGGGGCTTACCTAATTTTTGTGTAATATTAGGTAAGTGCGTGCACTTGTAATATATCCGTACTATTTGTAATGTTATTCGCATATAATTTAGGAAATGTTACTTCATTAAAATGTTACATGGCAACTAATCAAGTCAGCTGGTGAAGCAATTGGCGAACTCGTTTTTGTGCTCTTTTTATCGTACGCACTTATGTTTTATGTTGTATGTTGGTACCCGCATCTGCCGTCTGCTAGTTATATTTTGTTTTATTTGTTTGTCTTTCTGCTTTCTCCATGGGCGTATTCGATGAGAAACGGTAGGAGTTTTCGTTTACTAGAATCAATAAGTGTAGATCTTCGATCATATACGAGTAGTAATATGCTCGCAGGTGTAGATAGGCATGCATTTGCAGTGTTCCTTTCTTATGCTTTAACTTTTAGTCTTTAAAGGGTGTTTTTGAGCCCAAGAGCTTCATGCCTAACGGTAATTATATTGTAATAGTAAATAACGGTTTATTTAGTAATCTCTACATATATTTCACTTTTCTTAATCTAATGAGCACTAAATAAATGTAGTATATCACACTTGATCCCATAGACCAATGGAACATCAGAAATAGGCTAACTTTTAACGCGCGAAAATTTGAAAATTAAAAATAATGATTACAATTTTTAATAAAAAAATTAAACTGATAAATTAAACGGGAATAAAACAAAATAAAATTTTAATATTTTATTAAATAAAACTATTTTTAAAATATATATAAGCACATTCATACATTTACAATAATTAAATAACATTATTGACTATTATTGTATTATTCTGACTAGTGCGCATATTACAGAGATAAAATGTTCAAATAATAAAATCAATCACATTTTCAGTGTAAAAATAATAAATAAAAAAATATTTTAACATCTATAATATATTGCTTTATATGAAGATTCCAAAATTTATTTATACTTAAAAATTACGAACAGCTACCAAAACGTGTGTTAATGATATCAATAAAGGTAGTGCTGTTGCTGATATCGTCACGGCATTATTATGTCTTGGTTTCTGTAGACCAAGCTGATTAGGTTCTTCTACTTCATTGCTTAGTTGGTTGCCTGCCGCTGGATACCACGTCGTACTCTCAGAGACACCACTTGTTGACGAGGTCGACTCGTAAGGATAACTATTGCTGGTTTCAAAATTTCTGGTCGTTCCACCTGCAAGCGATAATTAGTTTATACCCAGTAAGATTTAGTTACGTTTTACTTACTTTGTATACCTGGGGCTTGCCCTCCGACGTTCCACGCCCTCACCGTAGCCCAGTCGGACCTGGTGGACGGCGTCGAAGGCAGTTCCGGATACATCTGCACGGTATTCCCACCTACGGAAGGGGTATTTTCAGACGACCAACTGCTAGCTCTTCCGTAGGAGGCCGGTCTTGTTCGCGACCCCAAAATCTGCGTAGAAGAAGCGTCCGTGGAGGGAATCCTCCCGCTGGAAGGTGCCACTGATGATGGTAGCCACGAAGACGGGGTGGGCGGTTTCGGTGGAGTAACTCTGTCTGGTAAAATTTCTTTCTGGACCGCTTCTTGCTGGATGGTGCTCCAGGGGTACACCTCGCTGGAGGAGGTGGATATCATCAGAGGGTCGGTTCGGTCGGCGTAGGGCAATGAGTCTGCGGTTGGGACTGCGCAGTCTCCAGAATTAGGTCTGGAAATTAAAATTTGAAATTTCATAGTTTTATGTTATATCATGAATTAAATTTTGGTGTATATAATTTAGGACACCCAGTATATTTTTGACGTATGCTTTTACCTTCTTTTTGTACATTTTGTGTTTCATACAATTAGAAGTGACTGGGAATGACAAAATAATACTCACATGTAATTATAACATTGATCCTGCAAGAAACTTAAAGCCTTGTCTATTATTTGAGTAGCAAATCGATTGGCAGGTCCATCAGAAATACCTCTGTCACATATTCTCCTCGTTTCACGTTGAATACATTGTTTGAATCTGTCGTGGGAACTAGAATATACATTGATCGGTTAGAAATAGAAACCCCAGAAGTGTTCATTAAATGAATTTATATCAACTATGCAAACTAATTGAGTAATTGCTATTAAACTACGTATAATATTAATATACAGGGTGGCGAATTGAAAACAAAACAGAACCATTTTCAGGAATTGCGTTAAGATTGTGTAAAAACGCTCAGACCCGTCGATTTTAGATTAAAGGGGGACATTCTTCGCTGGTATTTTTGACTCCGTCGCTTTCACCCCCAAGCAAGGGTAAGCATCACTCCAAAATATTTAAATGGCATTGGGGGTTGAGTAATATTTCTTTTGAAAGCTCTTGCAATTCTCTTTACAACAGACTTTAAATTTTAAAGTTGAAACTTATGTACAAACAATTAGTAACGGTAAAAATGTTAGTCATTCGAGTTAAGTACGCTAATGGTATAAATTGAGTACTTTTTGCGTTACATTGGCGTTTGGCGATTTGTTATCGCTTTCGTAAAAAAACACAATTGTAAAAAACAGAAATGAATGCTATACACATACAATGAACGTAAAATTAGTGGATTCCAAATTATTTTCTAGTATTATTTGGAAGCGTTAGTTGGTAGTTTATTTAATTGTGTTTTTGAAAATTAAACACTATGGTTTATTCCATTGCGGAAAGGGTAGATATCTTTCGCTTTACTTTATGAACAATAAAGATGCGAATAGAACAGCTCAGCTATTTAATGAACAACATCAAGATCGACATGTCATGAGGAAGTATGTTCTAGAGTTAGTAAACAAATTTCAAGAGACAGGGAACGTAGCCAATAAAAAACGAGAAATTGGAAAACCTATAGTTAATGAAGCTAGTGAGGTTGCAGTTTTGGGACAAGTTCATCTTCATCCTACATTTAGTACGAGGCAGCTGTCATCTATGTGTGGGATCAATCGAACTAGCATACAAACCATTTTGAAGAAGAATAAATTTCATCCATACAAAATACATTTAGTCCAGGAACTTCATGAGGATGTTTATGCCCGCCGTTTGCAATTTTTCGAAATAATGAGTGAGCGAGCAGGGAACGATCTACAGTTCCTTTTTAACATCTGTTTTTCTGATGAACGCAGTTTTTTCTTGAACGGGACGGTAAATCGTCACAATTGCCGCTATTGGCCCGATTCAAATCCAAGAGTTTTTCACGAGGTGCATACACAGCAACCGGAAAAATTAAATGTATGGGCTGGAATTTTCGGTGACCGGCTGGTGGGTCCTTTTTTTCTACCTGGTAATTTGACTGGCCAAATGTATTTGCAATTACTGGAAGACGCTATTGATCCTGCCTTGACTGATATTATTGAAAATGTTCCAGAGTTTGATGAACATCATTTGATTTTTCAACAGGACTGTACTGCTCTGCATTATGCGTTAATTGTCCGTCAGCATTTGGACCAACGTTTTCTACGGAATTGGATTGGGCAGCATTGAGTGGCTTCCACGATTACCGAATTTATCGCCTGTTGATTTCTTTTTGTGGGGATACCTAAAAAGTAAAATCTATAAAACACAGCCAGCGCCGCTGGAAGATTTGAGTCAAAGAATCGTCGACGAATGCCATCACTCCGGAAATGCTTCGGAATGTGCGCGAACGTTTCGAACAAAATTATTGTTCTTGTATGGAAGCGGGCGTAAGTAAGTAAGCAACTAAACATAATTTAAATTTTAAAATGTAAATTTTTTTCAAAGTATTGGGCGGAATTATAAAATTTAAAGTCTGCTGTAAAGAGAATTGTAAGAGCTTTCAAAATAAATATTACTCAACCCCCAATGCCATTTAAATATTTTGGGGTGATGCTTACTCGTGCGTGGGGGTGAAAGTGGCGGAGTCAAAAATACCAGCAAAGAATGTCCCCCTTTAATCTAAAATCGACGGGTTTGAGCGTTTTTCTACAATCTTGACGCAGTTCCTGAAAATGGCTCTGTTTCGTTTTCATTTGGCCACCCTGTATATTGCTTGGGTGATGTACACTTGACTTACCAACATAAAGTAGATTTAGAAGTTATGTCTCCTTGGTCTACCTGATCCACCAAAAGGTTGTATTGAAGGCCACAGTGTGATCTTTGTATTATCGTGTTTTTTATACAACTGGCGTGTTGAAGGTATTCTGAAGAAAATAAGTATAATAAAAAATATGGACGCTATAGCTTACATGTTATAAAAGATGTGTAATACACAGTGTATCAGCTATTTAATGTTATGACACATTTTTGAAGAGTAACTCTTTTTATATGGAGACGAAAAAAAAACAAGATCTTTTAAAAAATGAGATGTTTATTACTCGAGACTCAATATAGGTACTTGAAAAAGTAAAAATGCAGGAGTTACAGCTTTCTGCTTTTTTCAAGAGACAACTGGTATAAATCGCTCTTGACTTCTTATAATTTGTCACAGTTTTTCAACTTTTATTCGTCTACAAAAAAAAACTCAAGAGACAGAAACATTAGTTGGAAAAGGTCGGTTAATATCCGTAAAAGATGTCGTTAACATCAAATGATGTTTTTTCCACTATTCAGACTATTTCGAGTATTTCGACATTACTTCTTCGTCAATTTTTGTTTAAAATTTATTTGCAGATAAGTAGTTCTTATTTGGAATATGCAAATGTATAAATATAATTTATTGAAGGGAAAATATTTGACGGATTTTATTTGGCAATACTGAAATATTGATAAATTGTCATACCAAAGAAAAATGTGTACCTAAATTAATTTGTAAACTACAGTGATAACAAATGCTATAATTAATGAGTTTCTAAGTAGGTAAACAGAACAATGAAATTCTATCGAAAAAGTAATAAACCAAAAATACAAATTGCGTGACTTGTACGTTTACTGTCTTGTACGTTCACAAAATTGATAGTTAAATCTGGAAATGTCGTGTCAAAGAATGAACAGCGAATCGACATTTTATTACATTCACCTCTTTGGTAACTGGGTTGCATGCACATCTGATGAACGCTCTCGATCGGACTCTCCACCGCCCTGTTGAACTGCTTCCTTTGCTGAGGAGTGAAGCAGGCGTCTGTATACGTCTTTAGACAGTCCACGAATTGGTTCCACGTCCTGCACACCTGGTCTATGTCGTCCAAATTATCCGGAAAAACCAAATGCGGCTCTTTCACCAAAGGATCCGCTATCCTGATGCATTTGTCGTACTCTCTTTTGGAACATTCCATCCTCCCGTGCGACGTCATGGGGAGGACGAGGATGGGTACGATAATCCACCACATATCCCTAAAATAAATAGTTTGTCGTCTGTAAAATCGTTTGTGCAAAAGCGTTTCATTACAAAAATTGAGATGTAACGAAATCAGGAAATGATCGCTCTGCTTGTAGCTCATATAACTTTCGAATAGATGAACCGAGTAAATCAAACCGATTGAAATCCAAAAATAAACCGCGTCTAGTGCGATACTAGTTAACTTTGTAGCTTTAAAACTGGATCTACGAGAACGCTCTAAAAGAGACTTTTGAAACTGGTTATTCAACACAGGCCAGACAGACTGAACAATCGGGAAACGTCCAGGAGATCTCGCTCTATTAGTTGTTAATGGACATCTACGGAGTAAACATGTGGACTTGAACATCATTTGTTTTTTATCTATTGTATTACCCAAGCCGCAGTACTCCCGACATTGTACGTGAAATGGATGTTTTATATACTACTTTGTAACCTGTGTTATTGCACCCTTTTCACAGATGAAATTGCTTTACAAGATATGGTTTTCATGCACCACAGAGCTCCTCCGCAATAGTCTATTACAGTTATCATTTTTAAAATATCATTTAATTCATAGATAAATATGTTCAAGTTATATCTTTTTCTAAACGATATGCCTATCTTATAACGGTGACTTATGTGTATATACTTAAATGCAAATACATAATCATAAAACTTAAAAGATATGCAGTCAGATAGTGTTAGCAGCAAATTATGCAAATTAATGTTTTTTTTTACCTAAGTTATGCAGTTAGAATACATATTTTGTATAAAATCGCATGCTTCGGATGTTTCAAACAACTTTTGGATAATTTTGTATTTAGGTATGCAACACTTTGTAGATATGCATTTTTTTAACACAAATGTGTAGATAGTTTGCTTCCAAAATTAGTTTTAAATAGCCTCTAAAAAGGTTTTATCTATAATTGTTCATATAACAAAATACCTTGTCTTGAATTGCATTCTATTTGTTTAAAACAGAACGTACCGAGTTAAAAATGTGATAATACCTACCTTTCTAACATAAGAACATTGACTTAGACTGGAGTTAAAAGAAATCGTTTTCAATATTAACTGCCATCCTTTACATTTAAAATTTTGAAAATGACAACTCTTACATTTACATTTATTTATTTTACAGTTATTTATTTACAATTATATTCATTTAATTACAGTTACTTATTTACAATTACATTTAAAATTGTCAAAATGACAATTATTATGTAATTTTGTTTCTCTATTTATTTGGATATTTTGCGATCTGTGTAAATACCATAGACCTTATAAACTAGTTTACTAGGTCTATGGTAAATATAAACAATTAATCATATAAATCCTGACACCAAACAATCAATTAAGGGTTAAGGGTTTGTAGCAAAAAGTATCATAATATAGAGAAGATATTTACAAGGTTTTTGTTTAAAATCTTTTTTTTTTTGTATTTTGACTGATAATATGCTATTTTACTAAATTCAGAATCGTTTACTAAAGTGGCATTTTACCACATTGAAATGTCACTGTACTATAGTATAGTAATGTCACTGTTAATAAAAAAGTTTGACAGAAAATTGTTTATTTAAATATTGGAAACATTGTTATATACAGGGTGTCCGGAAAGGTCATGTCAAAAATGAAGGGGTACACAAGGGAGATCAAAAATATTTTGCTATCGCGCTTCGTTGTGGAATTATTCGCCTTCAAAGAAAGAAGTTTGAAATACAAATCCCAATCATAACTTCTAAGTCGTTACCATGACGACAATGAAAGGGCATTCAAAGTAACTCATGATAATGTTCATTTCGGTGTACCGTATATCAGTCGATATCTTGTACCTTTTTGAGAAAATCGAATTTTATTAACAACATATATTTATTGTAACAAAAATATGACATTTTTGTAAAAATCTTGGTCAGCTTTTAAGTTACTCGCTCGTTGCGTTCGCTCGTACTCACAAGCTATATTCGTTTGGTAAAACTTTGCTTTTCTAAACTTGTTGTTTAATATACAGTGTAGGAAAGTACCGATGGTCTATCAGAAGTTACGTGAGAGCGATAAAGTAAGCCATAGAAATCCGTGTGATAGACAAGGATGGCTATAATGAAGGCGTCTAATAGTCAACGCCCATTTCGCCCTTCCACAAATAAGAAGTGGATCTTATTTATGGAAGGGCGAAACGGGCGGTGACTAAGAGACGCCTTCATTATAGCCATTCTTCTCTATCGCATGGATTTATATGGCTTACTTTATCGCTCTCACGTAACTTCAGATAGACCATCGGTACTTTCCTACCCTGTAGGTACTATATTAGAAGTTTTAAAAAAAATATTGATGTCTGACTTTGATATGCCCAATAAGAGTTCTTCGTTACAGTTGTGGCTTTTACGTTTTTGTTATATTAGATTAGTTCCTTAGCTTGTCACATTTGCAGATTAGTCCAAGCATTCTGTCACGGATTAATGTTAAATTTGCAGAAATTATTACCTGGACAAAAAAAATGTGACCGTATAGAAAATTAAATTTTAAATTGAGTTTCTTGTTGTTTAAACTCGATCCAATATGGCGAACATGGTTAAAAAAAATCGCAAAGTTGAAAAAAACGGTTTTTCTAAAATAACTAAAAAAATATAGCACGGATTGAAAAATTTTAAATGAGAAAGTTGTAGGTTTTAAAAAGATCTATCGACTGATTTTTTGAAAGTATCGATTGCTTTGTTACTTTTCGAGATATATCGAAAAAACCGTTAAAAATCTTCTCTTTTCTCTTCTTCTATAACTCGTTTACATTTACGTGCCCATATTTGCTATTTACTGCAAGCATAGCCCGCGGCAAGCCAAAAAAGTACATTTTTGAAAAATTTAAAAATATTAATTATTTTTCGAGATATATCGATTTTTTGAAAAAAAGGCGCTCTCGAAAATTGGCTAGATCTTCTCAGCGGATAGCCCTACAGTAACGATTTTCGGTTTATTTTCTTCGTAAAGAGTTATATTATCATGCTGTTAAAAAATGTTGACGATTTTATTAATTTTAAGGATCAAAAAATGACTGAAAATGTTGCACTTTTTTTGGGTATGTTTTTTTCAAATAACTATTTCAATTTTTATTATTTTTTTGTACTTAATCTGGGGTAGCTAAACACGAATATTATAGCATTTTCGCCTTAGAAGCAAAATAGACCCGTAAATGTTTAGTTTTCTTTCTTTAAAAGTCATTTTCATAAAATAAAAATTGAAATAGTAATTTGAAAAAAACATACCCAAAAAAGTGCAACTTATTCAAAGTCATTTTTTGATCCTTAAAATTAATAAAATCGTCAACATTTTTTAACAGCATGATAATATAACTCTTTACGAAGAAAATAAACCGAAAATCGTTACTGTAGGGCTATCCGCTGAGAAGATCTAGCCAATTTTCGAGAGCGCCTTTTTTTCAAAAAATCGATATATCTCGAAAAATAATTAATATTTTTAAATTTTTCAAAAATGTACTTTTTTGGCTTGCCGCGGGCTATGCTTGCAGTAAATAGCAAATATGGGCACGTAAATGTAAACGAGTTATAGAAGAAGAGAAAAGAGAAGATTTTTAACGGTTTTTTCGATATATCTCGAAAAGTAACAAAGCAATCGATACTTTCAAAAAATCAGTCGATAGATCTTTTTAAAACCTACAACTTTCTCATTTAAAATTTTTCAATCCGTGCTATATTTTTTTAGTTATTTTAGAAAAACCGTTTTTTTCAACTTTGCGATTTTTTTTAACCATGTTCGCCATATTTGATCGAGTTTAAAGAACAAGAAACTCAATTTAAAATTTAATTTTCTATACGGTCATATTTTTTTTGTCCAGGTAATAATTTCTGTAAGCATTTCTCTATAATGCTTGGACTAGATGTCTTCAATGTTGTTCTTGGTGTCCATTCCGGTTGTGAATAATTTTGCAAACTAAATTGCAATAAATTGATTCGCCTGAGAAACTGGAAGAAATCAATACCATATCAAAATTTCTTGTTTTATTTGTACTATTTTCTTCCTATAGTTACGTGTGTTGTTTTTACAAATTTTATTGTAATCATTGCTTAAATATACAGTACGCGCCTAATGTATGGAATAAATTCAGTAAAAGCGGAACAAATTTTTTTCTGGGAAAAATCCTCGAACAGGTCGATTTTTAATTTAAAAAATACATATTTTAGCATAAAAGGCGATTTTCAATCGTCCTTTGTTTTCGAGTAATGACGTCATCGACATTTTTTTTAATAGCAACCCCCTATTTTTTTTCTTGATTCTGAAAGATCGTTTCATTGTCGATCCGACAGTATAAAAATGTTGTCATCTTACATAGGAAAGTTTTCGAGTAAATGACGATTGAATGTTAGAGAGAATTTAATTAACAACTTCATAACCCTTTTACCGACCGCGTTAAAATTTGACACATTTATTTAGACTATTATGGCGTATTACTTCTTAAAGAGAGTGATGTGCTCTATAACAAGACCGTACTGATTACTGAAACTGTACTGTAACAAATTTTTCTTTAATTCACGTAAAACATCTTTCGTATGTATGTCCGTATAGCATGTAAGATTTAACAAATTTGCGAAAGAAACACGCTAACCTATTTTTTTTCTTGTTCCATCAAAACAAGACCTCACTGCAACCCTTCCAGAACGCACATGCTGCCCCCCAGCCATTCATCAAACGGGGGTTTTCCTTGCGCCACAAAAGCTAAACGCGAAAATGACGGCACCGTCTAAGAAAAACACGCGTAATTCCCAACAATAAGTGGGTCTCCAGAAGGAGGTCAGAGCAGAGAATAGCGCCTTACATTATGTCCACTCTTGCGTGCTCGCGAAACGGAAGTAATCAACCAACTAAATATTGACGGAACCGGCTGTTAAAAATACTACCCTTGAGCGGCAATATTGGTCTGGCGTTCTCCATAGGACTAATGATTTTTAAATAATGGCGTTGTGTGAGGCATAAAATCTTATTAGATGAAAAAGTCCTAGGTGAA